GGAGCACCCAGAATTTCTTGAGACAAGCAGGTCCACTGGTTAATTGTTCTTATTGTCAGGAAGTTTCTTCTTAGTTTTGTTAGTTGCTTAGTTGCTTTTCTCTTTGTTCAGTTTCCATCCATTGCTTCTTGTTTTGCCTTCTGTTTCTTTGGAAAATACACAACTACAACCAAAAATAACCACCAAACCACAACCACAAATAATTACTATCCCATCAAATAATTCCACAAATGATATCTCCTTACTCATCAGAGACATCATGATATGTGATCAGAAATGTCAAAATGCCATCTTATTTGCTCTTGAAGACACCAACAGATCAGATGACATCACCGAAGTTCATAATATAAGCAACTCAAATACAACAAACATCTCTCCTGAAGATATCATTTAAATAATCAGAGATGGCCCTGAGTTCAAACACAATGATGGCCCGGTGGCCCCAAAATTTTGTAGAGTTGTATGCAACAATAAACGCCATTGCAAAAACCAATCCCAACCACAAAAAACTTTGCTCAAGACCAGACTTATCCATACTGCAAAGAATCCGCTCCCGTGAACTCCGCAATGAACTCAAAAGATGTCTAGACAGTGGAGAGAAGGATCTATACATTGACTACCGCGCTGATTGTATAAAAGTAAGTCACACAACCCACAACTCCACATCCAACCCTACCTCATCCAACTCACCATCACTCAAAACTAGGCATGCATACCCCTAACTAACTCAATTCCAACTACAACTAGCCTTAAATGCAAGCTACTCAATGCAAGAAGCCTTGTGAATAAAATACCTGAATTTCTCCTCTTACTAAATGTGGCTAAATTCGACATCATATTTGTCTGTGAAATATGGCTCAATGCATCTCTCCTTGACTCCATTACCACAGTAAAAGACTATCATGTTTACCGATCAGATCGTGAAATCTGTAGAGGAGGAGGTGTTGCTATCTTCTATAAAAAGTCCTTACATCGAAAAAATATCCAAGTTACCCAAGAGCTTGCTCTTCCTGAGACCATCGTCTGTGAATTGTCCTTAAATATCACATTTTGATTCTTACTATGTTACAGAGCACCTGGTTATGACATCGAATATGTAAACAAGCTAAGTTCACTACTAACATGGGAAACATCCTTCCCACACACTTTTTTCTTTTTTGGTGACTTCAATCTACCTCACATTAACGACCTAAAAGAATGTACAACTGAACCCATACATGAACCTTCTACAATGCTGTAACAAACCTGGGACTGGAACAACTAGTAACCAACAATACTAGACTTAACAACTGCCTCGATCTCATCTTCTGCAACAGTTTGAATTCAATTTACGGAATACAAATTAGATAACCCTTTTCCAACAGTGACCACAGCATGATTGACTTTTGTCTCAACATATGTCCAGACAAAAATCAACACAACGATGTGATCCCCAATTATCACTTCAAAAAAGGCAACCATGATCTTATAGACAACGATCTCTTATCCCTTGATTGGCAATTTCTATTCACTGGATGCAATACTGTTGAAGACCATTACAACATATTTTTACTTGAAGTCAAAAGCATCATCGAACTATATGGACCAAGAACAACTCCAAAATCCAGAAAAAACAGATTACCCATAACAATAAGGAAGCTACAATCCAAAAAGAGATCACTTTGGCAGAAAAACAAATCTGGTCACGTTGCCAACTTCAAAAGCCAGTACAAAAATTTATGCCACCAGATAAAGACTGAATGCACCAATTATCGCATTAAACAAGAGGAAAACCTTCTTACACACCAATTGCACCCACACTTTCTACAATTTTGTAAACAACAAACTAAAAGACAAGGGGTATCCAACCCCTGAAAGGACCTAATGGTAAAGACTGCAATAATGACACCATTAAAGCCAACCTCTTTAACACATTATTTGGCTCAGTATTTGTAAACAGCAATGGATCATGCCCAGTATTTCCTAGTCCAGGGGTTGCCAACCTGGACTAGTTGCAAACTCATAAAATTTGCTAGCAAGCAAACTCACAAAATTAACTCACAACACATCATGCATGTAAATACTGATTTTTTTGTAAAAAAAGAGCAACTTTTACCCAAAATCAGGCAAAGCAGGCAGATTGAGTTGCTCACAAAATCATTCAATGATCTGTCTGCCATCAGCTAGCTCAGTCTCTCAAATTTGCTTGCCGTGAGTTGCACTGAATTTGTTTGCAAGCAAACCTTCAGTCCTAAGGAGGTTGGCTGTGCTGAGCCGAAGATCTAAAGACTAGCTAGAAAGCAAGAAATTCAACCATTTCCTGCTTCCTAGCTAATCTGAATCTCCTGGCACAGCAGAACAGATGATGGTCGGAAAAAGGAAAAATAGTAGTTTAGCAGTCAAGTTTGCCAGGTAAGGAGTGAGTGGGCAGGGAGGGTTTCCGCGGGCCATGTGGGCTGAGCAGCTTTGTGTTTCTGCACAGCCTGGATTAATTGCTTTGTGGAGGTGCTCTGGGGGTGAGATTTCTCTGTGGCCCACCAACATTTTCTCACTGCTGTCCTAATTGAACCACTGACAACTACAATGATCTAATACATATTCATTTTACAGAAGACAATGTTGAAAAAGCACTATGCAATCTAAAACCATCTTTATCTATTGGACTGGAAGGAATATGTGCCTACTTCTTAAAAAAGCTATCCACTGCCATAGCCGAACCTCTAAGCATAATCTTTGAAAAATCTTTCAGGACCAGCTCCTTGCCAAAACTATGGTCACAAGCCACGGTCATCCCCATCTTCAAAAAGGGAGACCCCAGCCTAGTTGAAAATTACAGACCAATCTCTTTATGCTGTGCCACCTGTAAAGTCATGGAATCAATTATTAACCAATCCATTATCCTCCACTTAGAGACAAACAATCTACTCTCTAACAAACAGTTTGGTTTCAGAAGGAAACTGTCCTGTAATCTGCAACTCTTGCACTGTAAAAGCATATGGACTACACAACTTGATCAGGGCAAAGCAATAGATGCAATCTACATAGACTTCTGTAAAGCCTTTGATTCAGTGGTACACAACAAACTACTCCTAAAACTAAAATCTTATGGTATCTCTGCATAACTGTATAGAAGCATTCCTTTCAAACAGACAACAAATGGTCAAAATTGGGAGCATCCTATCAAATTCTGTACCTGTCAACAGCGGTCTCCCCACAGGCAGTGTTCTAGGACCAACTCTCTTCATACTCTACATAAATGATCTCTGTGATCATATTAAGAGCAACTGTGTTCTCTTTGCTGACATTGTAAAGCTATTCAACACCACAGACAATACTGCTACCCTTCAAAAAGACCTCGACTATGTATCAGAATGGTCAAACAAATGGCAACTTTAAATCTCAACAAATAAATGCTCTGCCTTACATATTGGCAAAAAAAAAATAAAACAGAAAATAAAATACAGGCTGAATAGTCAAGACCTTGTTGATGATCCATACTCTGTCAAGGATCTTGGAGTACTCATCTCTAATGATCTAAGTGCTAGAGCCCACTGTAACTACATAGCCAAAAAGGCATTAAGAGTGGTTAACTTAATCCTATGGAGCTTTTTCTCTGGTAATATCACACTACTAACTAGAGCATAGAAAACGTTTGCTAGACCAATACTCGAATACAGCTCATCAGTCTGGAACGCACATTACGTATCTGATATTAATACAGTTGAGAAAGTCCAGAAATATTTCACCAGAAGAGTTCTCCTCTACTCGTTGCAGAATATGTTATGCCACCAGACTTGAAATTCTAGACCTAGAAAATCTAGAACTACGCCGCCTTTGGTCCGATCTAAGTAAGGTATATAAAATCATACATTGCAATGTCCTACCTCTCAATGAATACTTCAGCTTCAACCATAACAATACAAGAGCAAACAATAGATACAAACTCAAGGTTAATCGCACCAAACTTGATTGCAGGAATATGACTTCAGCAACAGAGTGGTCAATGTCTGGAATACTCTACCTGACTCTGTGGTTTCTTCCCCAAACCCCAAAAACTTTAACCTTAGACTTTCTACTATTGATCTCACCCCTTTCCTAAGAGGTCTGTAGGGGGTGTGCATAAGCCCAACATCCAACGTCCCTGTCCTATTGTTTCTTTTATTTTTCTTATATGTATCCGTGTATTCATAACTATGTTTTTACTTATACCTATTGTCGTGTAAGCAATTGACAAACCAATTAAATAAATTTAAAAAAAATGTCCTCCCTTCTTTTTGACAGCACTTTAAAAGCCTGTTGCCCTCTTGGGCAAAGCATGTGAGCCATTTCCTCCTTTCAGTGATCCATGAAAGTATATAGATAAGTATGTAGATAATAAAGTAAAAAAAAATGGTGAACAACATTTTACAGAACTATAGATAAGTTGTAGCTGGGTGTTACAAGGAATGGCTTGGAGGGGAGTGGCCGGGCGAGGCTCCCCTTGATGTGAGTGACATTGAGTTGGTCACGCCCAGCCAGTCGTGACCAAGCCACGCCGAGCCCATCAGGTGACCACCAAGCCACATCCACACAGTCACATAACCACCAAGCCACACCCACAACTAAGCCACACCCACAGAACCGGTTGTTAAGAAATTTGAATCCCACCCCTGCGTGCATAAGTGCACAATCATGCCTACCTGTCTTGTTGTCCCCATTTAGTCATACCTATTTCCTATATTCATACTCAGGTTTATTCTTATACCTATTATCTTGTGATTGACAAATCAAATAAATAAACAAATAAACAAATAAAATCTTAATGCCTTCTGAAAGGCCAGTAGGATCAGGATATTTGTTGGTGTGGAGAAGAGTAGGAGAGAAGCAGATTATTCTATTATACTCTTTTCTACATTTTCAGAGTTCATTCCCATGACTCCAACGTATTTTCTGTTTCTGGATTTAGGTATGCATGAGGAATCTCAAATATTTATTTTCATTGACTATAGAGATTTAACATGACAAAACTCTTCTTTTGATAGGAGTTGGTTATCATGGGAGCTCCAGGGTCTTACTATTGGACAGGAACGATCAAAGTATTGAATCTCACTGATAATACATATTTCAAATTGAAAGATGAATCTGTGATAGCCAAGCGTTACATATATCTAGGTAAGCAAAGCACAACAATTTTCAAATTATTATTGGTTTTGAATATTGATGGTAAATAGATCCCCACATGCATAAATGTATAGCCAGTGAAATCTAAGAACATTGACCTCTATGAACTTGTTTAATGACTCAGTAAAGTCAAACCAAGTTTCTAACTCACTATATTTTGTGGTGAGTTATGCTGTTCCACTTGGGTCTCCGTGAATAATTTCTTTTTAACTGACTTTAATCTCTCATAATTCATTTTCATTTGAGGAGCATGGGTTATAGCATTTTGGGAATTGGATAAAAAGTTATCATGTATTCCATATGTTGATTGCTTTTCTAACATCTGCTATTTGCAATATTCAAATGTCATAGAAATTATCTGTTTTATACCTGAAAAACTATGTTTTTCAGTTTTAGTACTCTTCTTCTCTTTTATTGCCCTTTATTTCTTTTCAATAATAACCATCAACTGTTCTGGTACCTTTCCTGATTTAAATTTCTGTTCTTATCTTTCTCCTGCTTACATCTTATTGTTAGGTAAAACTTGCTTATTATTTCAAACCTGGACAGTGCATTTCCTGTTCCAGAAAAGTAAGGCTCTTAAAGAATTTGACGGTGTTTTGCTTGAGTCAAACTTCTTCTGAGAGAAGGGGAAAATGCTTTATCCAGCTAGATGACCTAAGACTTGGCTTCATTTCCATTTTTTTGCTGATATTTTTGGTCATTTTTTCTCTCTGATTGTCCATCCTTAAAATGCCCCACTCAGGATATGCAGTGGCAGCAGGTCACTTCTCTCAGCTGATGACCATGGACGTCGTTGGAGGAGCTCCCCAGGATGGAGGCGTTGGAAAGGTTTGGCTGTTGATCAAGCTTCAGCTCATAGTTCATCCAGGAGAAAATGGACAAGAAGTGTGGGGCTGCAGCAGTTTGAAGAATAGTCCTGAAAATATTTTATTGCCAGTAACAGAGGGAGAATAATTAATAATATCTAGTTTGTTTAAGTCTTTCCTTCTCTTGTGGTCCTATTCTCATTGTTCTGAGAATCTCATCACCCATTTTCTAGTAGCAGTAAATAGATAAACCTTCCTTTTTTAAAATCACATAATTCATTGTAAATTCAAGCTGTGGCTACCATGTATATTAACATTTTTGATGAATACTTGGTTTGCAGTAATCAAGACCAAAGATTTAGAAAAAATTTTTATTACTCAATCCAATATTGTTTATTCAAATTAGCAGTAGTTTTTCATTGACTCTAGCAGAATTAATTTTTTAATCAGGAACTTCGATATTCTTGATAAGGATGACCTAATAAGCCATAGATTTCCATCCTTTAGAGCAGGGGTGTCAAATTCAATGTCATTGCGGGCAGAATCAGGGTTGTGTTTGACCTCGAATGGCTGGGTGTGTGTGTGGGAGCAGCGGTTGGCATGGTCACGATTGATGTAGATGGGATGGCCATGGTGAGTGGAGGAGGTACAAGATCACTTAACATCACATCTGTGCCCCCAGCCAAAGACAAGAATAAAAATAAACTGCTTCCATCACATATCCCCCAACCTGGAGCCCCTCCTGCTGGCAGGGATGAGAGGGCGCTGCATCTGTCCTCTCCAGGAACACTAGTTTTGGGAGGCTGTGATAGATTGTGACTGTTTTTTTTATTTCTTCTTTAAAAAAGAAACAGACAAACACACTTATCTGAGTAACAAAAATCATTGCTTTGTGTTTCCAGTATTAATCAGCTGAGTTTTCTCTCTTCTGCTGCCACCAAGGAAACTCTCCCAATATTTTTCATGTTGCTTAAGAGGGGAAGGGGATTCTTCCAGTGAGTCTGGGGATGACACTGTGGGAAAGGAGAAAGGTGAAGGAAGGAGCCAAAGGATCTATAGGGAAAAGCTAATTCCAAAGGCTTTTCTTAGGATTTAGGTGAGAGGCAAAACCCAACAAGCTAAAAATTTGAATTAAAACTAACTTCCAACTAACTGACAGACAGGAAACTTGCATGCAGGGAATAAAATTCATAAAGGCCAGATTCCTGATGTCATTTTCTCCATGTAGGGTGTTTCTCTTCCTCTGCTGCTTCAATCTGACACTGGGATACTCTCAAAAAGTTTGACACTGCTCAGAGAGTACAGCAGAATGCTTATGGAGGCTGGAGAGGCCAAAACAGGCTGTGTGTGGGCCTCTCAGGGCCTCCGCATGGCCCATTTTTGGCCGGCAGAGTGCTGTTGGAAACCATGGAGTCTAAAAACAGGCAGGGAGGCCACATGCAGTCCCCGCATGGCCCGTTTTGGCCAGCAGAGCACTGCGGGTCAGTCCTTTGATATTTGCAGGCTGGCCAAGTGGGTCAGATTTAAGCACCCCGCGGGCCTTGAGTTTGACACCCCAGCTTTAGAGTGACTTGCATAAAAATCACTACTATATGCAATCTGTATGTTTGTGCAAATATTGCATTTAACCTCTAGTTTATTTTAATCATTTTTAGCAAGTCTGAAACGAATCAGAATTACTTTTGCAGATAAGCAAAACATAAAAGTCCTCCTCTCCACCCATTCCTCCATTCCCTGCCCAGTCAGTCCTTATTGCGCATGCAGTCAGATTTTGGATTTTGTTCCCTCCCTTTTTTTGACTGCCTAATGCTCTCATGGATTAGATAGACAGAGCAGAAACATAATATAGGAATAAACTGGTAAACCACAAAAAAGCCCATATTTTTATATCTCATTAGGTACCAAGTTGAAATCAGGAAGCTAATCACAACTCTCCAACTGATTTTATTCCTGTACTGTGGCATATTCATGGTTCTCCATTTCTACATCACCCAGAGCCAAAAAATAAACTATGTTATAACTTTGTGTAGCCACATGTTCCTCCAAGTCTAGGAAGGAATTTGATCTTTAATATAGAGCACTACAATATATGATCCAGGATAGGAATGCTGTATAAGTTACATATGGAGGCCTAACTCTTTAATTGCTACTCTACCACATTAAGCAAGATAGTTGTGAGACTCAAGTCTATAGCATATCTTGTAGATCAAGAGCCAGTACTGACTTGTAGGCCAGTATATGAAATTGTGGCTTACTTTAGGCAAACAGCCCAATTGCTTCTGAGTGGACATCTCATATATGCCATGCATAAGATCATTAATTTTTGAACATGGGCTACCTATTAACCCTGTAAAGTAGATTGCTGTTACTATCCTCAAATATTATTTGGAATGAAGGATTATAGCTACTTAAATCCACCTAGTTTGACTAAGATGAAATGTGAATCATAATTTTTTAAATTGTAATTTTTAGTTTGTACTTTTAACAATTAGAGCTATAAACCAGCACAATATTTCAAGCACTAAAGCTTTCTGGAGAAAAATATTTTATATATGACAAATAATAATCATTAACATTTACACCAGAAAGGCAGTCTCCTTGTGCATAAACTTAGTCATGCAATGTGTTTAGCATATTCTTAGTCTTTAAACACATCTCACTTTTGTAATTAGTATCCTGAGTGAGTATCAGTACACTGTAGATACTTCTTTGTTGGTGGGATGTGGAAAAAGAATGCCCTGGCTTGGAAGAAGTCTCTTGATTAAAATTCCTACTTACATAAAATAATGTGCTTGTGATAAAACTAGATTGTGCTTACTATTAACAGGGTATGCTGCATGGTGCATAGAAATGACTGACACCAGTAACTTTATCTAAATTTTCTGTGAAAGCTTTAATTAACCAGCATCATTATGGTGTTAGAGATTAATATATGTGGGCCTGCTAGTGGTAATTTGGAAGATTGTGGTACGTAAGAGGAGTAAATAATAAAAAATACAAATTAATGAATGAAATGAGTTAAGGAAAAGTAGATAGCATGTAACTCTGAAATAAGAATGATATAATACGTCTGAATGAAAGTGGTCAAATCTTTGAAATTGAGGAATACGCCTGTAGAAATAGAATTATATGTTTATGAATAAAAGAGCTAAAATGTTTGACAGAAATTATGATTGGATGTCTTCTAGATCAGTGGTTCCAAAAGTGGGCGGTACTGCCTCCTGGGGGGCGATGGGATGACTTAGGGGAGTGCTAAGAGGCAAGTGGGTAGCAGGGGGGTGCTAAGAAGAAAAGGGAGCAGCAGAGGAGTCCTGGAGGTGGCCCCCTCGCAGGGCACAATTCAGGGATGGGATTCTACTTGTTCATTACTGTTCCCGGTAATTTGGAGAACTAGTAAAATGGCCCCATTCCTCTCCACCCGTTCCTCCATTCCCTGCCCAGTCAGTCCTTATTGCACATGCATGACATCGCATGTGTGCACGACAATTGTTGATGGCCACAGCAGTGCATTGGAAAAGCGGAGCAAACAAAGCCAGAGGTTGGTAATTTTTCCTGTAAAAAGCCTCCAGATGCTGCGTCTTTTTTTTTGATGCAGCTGGAGTCTGGAGGCTTTTTGCAGTGAAAATTACCAACCTCCGGCTTTGCTCTGCTTCTCCAGTGCGCCACTGCTGCCATGTTCTAGGCGCCGGCCATGCAGGCTCACCCCATTGACTGCTGCTCAGACTTGCTTGGGCAAGTCCCTCCAGTGCAGCGGGCTCAGTGGGGTGGACCTGTGGGGCCAGTGCCAAGAATGCAGCCATAGCAGCGCATTGGAACAGAGGAGCAAGCAAAGCTGGAGGTCAGTAATTTTTGCTGCAAAAAGCCTCCAACCACTGCAGTCCAGCTGCATCGAAAAAAACACGGCGGCTGCAGGCATTCGTGACAAGGGTGATGTGGGCTGGTGAGGAGCCCAGTGACAACAGTGGCTCAGCCCTGGCTTGCCTTCCCTGGCAGCCAGCTGTGGGAGGAAGATAAAGTCATGGCCTGGGATGATGAAAGAGGTGGTCGTGGGGGAGGAAATGGGGAGATTAAGGGCCGGGGCCTCTGAAAGGGGGAACAGGGTGATGGAGGATTAGCCCAGGCCTTTGACAGATCAGGCCACACCTGCCTGGGCAGAAAATAGATAGATAGATTAGGGAAGGGATAGAGAGGGGGGGAAAGAGAGAGAGGGAAAGAGAAAGAGAAAGAGAAAAAAGAGAGAGGAAAAAAGAAAGAGGAAAAAAGAAAGAGAGAGAGAGAAAGGAAAGAGAGAGAGGGAAAGAGAGAGAGAGGGAAAGAGAAAAGGAACAGACAAGAAAATAGAGAAAGAAAAAGCGAGAGAGAGGAAGAAAAAGGATAGACAAAGGGAGATGGAAGGAAGGGACAGAAAGAAGAAATAGAGGGGAAAGAGAAAGAGAGAGAGAAAAGAGAGGGAGAAAGAAAGGGAGGGAGGAGAAAGTGAATGGGATAAGGAGGGAGAGAGGGAGAGAGAAAAAAGAGGGAAGAGAAAGAAAGAGGGAAAGAGGGAGAAAGAGAGAGAGAAGGAAGACACAAGAAAAAAAGGAGAAAAGGGAAAGAAAAAGGGAGAGAAAGGAAGAAAAGGGATAGACAAAGAAAGGGTGGGGGTGAAAGAAAAAGAAAGAAAAAAGAAAGGGAGGGAGGGAGGGAAGAAAAAGTGAATGAGATATCTAGTCCAACCACTTGCTCCAGCAGGGTTAGAAGTGAGTGTGTGTGTGTGTGTTTGTATATGTGTGTGTGCATGTCTGTCAAAACTCTCCAAACAGGTCAAGTAGCTCTGAGGAGATCAGTCATAAATTAGAACACTTGTTAAGCAACTGACCATTAAGTGAGGACTACTTGTATTTGCTTTGCCAGTCACATGGCTGTCTGGCCATGCCCACTCAGTCACATGACCAAAAGCCACACCCACAAATATTAGGCCACACCCACAGAAACAATTGTTAAGAAATTTGAATCCCACCCCTAGGTGGGGGGCACTGAGAA